GAGCATGTAAGCAGGATGAATTACAAAAATTTGGGATATGTTGAATTTTAAAGACAGAGTAAAACAGACGTTAAATCATGTTTATAAAATTGCTCACAGTGTCCGAATATCTTGCTGCCAATTTGTCAAGGTTGGGAACCAAGCAATCATAGTACGTATTAGGGGGAGAGAGCACAACTTTTGTAAAATAATCTTCACTTCATGCAGAGTACTAGTGGTACAATAATCTCCCCTCATGTAAAGTACTAGTGGTACAATAATCCTCCTCATGTAAGTACTAGTACAATAATCTCCTCTGCGTGCGGCCAACAGTAACAGCCTGGTTGATCAGGCCCTGACCCCACCATGAGGCCTAGTCACAGACCGGCGGCGGGGGCGTTTACCCCGAAACCCTCCCCAGGTATACTCCAAGTATATCATGTAGAGTACTAGTGGTAGAATAGTAGAGGAGTTCAGCGCCTCTAGTGGTGAGAGTGGTGGCCTTGAGAGGGGTTTCCCTTGAAGGTGGTGGTAAGGATCTTTGATCCAAGGAATGTAATTTGCCACCTGGGAGTGAACCTATCCTCCCAGGGGGTCCATGACCCCCACGGGTCGAGCGCTCCACCATGAGTAGTACTGATAGTGATGGTGTAGTAGTGCCATCTGTGGTGGTAGTCAAATTTAGTCAGGTTATCAGTGATGGTGTTATAGTGAAGGTCCAGGACATGACCAACCTCAAGGCCACTAAAGGTCAGTGAAATTCAGTGATCGTATAGAAGAGAGGAGTTGCTCCTCCTGCCACCCCCCCCGGCTTACCGCTTCCTCATCCTTTTAATCCCCCAAAATAACGTAAGTATTGTCTGGTGACGTTTTTTGTCATTACAACAGCAGAGTTGATTGCGCTCCTGGTCCCCACCACCAGTTTGATCACCAAATTATTAATATTTTAATAGTCTTAATTTTTTTTTGGGGGTTTAATGATAAAGCCCAGGAGGGCGAAACGTTTACAATAATGATACCCAGATGTTGCACATGTGTCTTAATTTCAACGGGATTTAATGTCTTAGAGGGGGGGGGTGATTGACTTGAGTGGAGGGGTTTTGATGCGAGGAACTGGAGCTACTCTCCTTCCTCGGATCAAACAATAACTCTCACACTAGGCGTTACATAACCCATAATGGTGTAACTAGTTCTGGGCTATTGTTTTCCAATATTGAAAAATAACTTAGAGAAGGTCTCTTGATTCAAGGAACTTGCGCCTTGTAATCCAGATAGACTTCTATGTAAACAAATTGTTAGTCATCAGGTTTATGTGAAAAATATTAAAGAAAAAGAAAGTTTTACTTACTATGTTAAACATTAATGGGTATATCAGTCAGGCAGTAATGTTACTAGTTTGTATTACATGGTAATGTTTGCCTATAAATGTAAGTAATGTTCATGGCTATATTGTGAATGTGTTTTGTTTCAGGTGTAGTAACTGAGGATTGCTGTGCCTGGCTGTGTCTGCTGCAACATTGATCAACACGGCAACCTTGACGAGTCTGAGGAGTGGAGACAACCACACTAGTGTTATATGGAGATGCAGCAGTTGGAGATGTCGTTAAAGGTGGGCAGGGCCCACCTGTAAGGTATTTCCAGGTTATAAGTCCACTAAAGTTTGGTCATTGAAGCAGATAGTAATTGTATGTGGTGGGGAGAGTATAGGAACGACTGTAAGCAATTGATATCAAAAGTAGCTTAGTGGGAAGTATTAGCTTATCTCCCGACTAGAGATGAAATCTCTGGTCAGGAAATGAGGAATGTATTCTATAGGTTACCTTGAATGGGGTGGAAATAAAAATTGGAGAAATGGGTTGTAAAGCTTAGAATTGAAGACTGATTAGATTTTAGGAAGTTTTAATTAATGTAATATCTATATTATGTAGTCTGTATCCATCCTGCAAGATTGTAGGAAGCTGAGATGAAATGTGTCGGTGATGTATCATGGCTCAGTTGGTAGTGGCGTCAACTGAAGAACCGGAATTCGATCCCGGGCACAAATGGGCATGTTCCCTTGTATACATTGGCACTGTTCACATAAGAAAGGAGGAACACTACAGCAGGCTTACTGGCCCTGGGCAGGCCTACTGGTGGAAGTAAATGGTATAAAATACCGACACAATGGAAAAATAAACACAAGCAGTATAATGTGATCCTTTATTGACAACGTTTCGCCCACACAGTGGGCGTTATCAAGTTCGACCTGCCCATGTTAGGCAGGTCCAACTCTCAACCACTCATTTGTTTTAAACTATTTTTAAAAGTACACAGCCAAAGTTTTAGTTTCACATGACGGGATAAATTTTCATTAGGCAGAATATATTATAGCCGGAAAAAATCAATAACAGTTCCTCAGAAATGTGGAATTAACCACGTCTTCCTATTTTCAGTAGGATTGTAGAGGGCCTGGCCAAGTAATTTTATGCTTTGAAGTCCCAGAAATATTTTCAGTAGTGTGGCTTGTGGCTTTAGCGCTTACGACTCCAGTGTCTTAGAGCGTCTTGAGGGGGAGCATTTGTTTTGAAATTGGGTTATACAGTATATATTTAGACACTAGACTGATCTCACCTAGACCCCCTTGATCTTACCTAGACTCCCTTGATCTCACCTAGACCCCCTTGATCTTACCTATACCACCTTGATCTTACCTAGACCCCCTTGATCTTACCCAGATCCCCTTGATCTTACCCAGATCCCCTTGATCTTACCCAGATCCCCTTGATCTTACCTGTACCTCTTCATTGCCCCTTGCGCCGCCACTGCTCCGCAAATTAGTAAGGCCTGTACCTGGAGTATGCTGCATAGTTGTAGTGTATATATATAACACTTTGTAGGTCTACAATTATTTAGTTTCTATCAAAATAACTTAAAGAATTAGGTGGTTAAGTAGTATAGGTAAGGTGTAAAACTGGAGAATCTGCTATATGCATTATGAATGCATATAGCAGGGGAGAGTAATCTCCCCGAAGGCATAAGTTACGTAGAACTGTGGGCCTTGGAACCACCAACGACCTTCAGAAGCTGTGTGGAATCTGTTATTGCACATGGTTTCTGTGGGGATGTTGGTGGGTTCCGGGCTTTGGGTAGTGGTTGCAGTGGGTGTTCTACGTTTTTTATACCTTTGGCCAAACTGTGCAGAGTTAAATATTGAGTCATTGAATTTACACAGTCATCATTTTGGAAAATTTAAGCGGCGTTCAGGTTCCTATGAATATAAAAGTATTAACGTTCAGAATTGCAGTTTGTTTGATGTGTGGAATCTTTTTGCACATACTTTCTAAGGGGATGTTGGTGGGTTCCGGGCTTTGGGTAGTGGTTACGGTGGGTGTTCTACGTTTTTGTCTTTGGCAAGTCTAATGTTGCTTTGTTTATTAAGTTCACAAAACTGACACTTGGGGAGGAAACTTTAGACGTTTCGGTATAACCTGGGTTATTTTGAGACTGCTTTCGACTGCACCTGGCCTTAGTTTTGATACCTTTTTACCTGGACCAGATTTCTCTAACTTGTATTATATTTTCACATAAATGGTGTGCAATACCAAGTTGGTAAGAGACATTGTGACAGGTATCATTATTCATGAAATGTTTCGCTTGGGAGGCAGGCTTTATCTGTCGACTACAGAGGCGACTGCAATCTTGAGACTAAATTGGAAAGTTTAATTTTGAGCTCTACACCTTGATAAAAGGATGGTCAGTCTCTTAGCCAGACTTTTTATTTACTTCTAATTTCTTACCTAGCATTGGCCAACAGGAATATTGGAGTTTCCTTTTATGTCTATTTTAAGCTCCTGTTGAACTTTATTATTGAAGGTTAACTTGTCGCCATTTCCCCACTGTTTGTACTGACACTATTTCATCTACGAATATTAATGTTACTACTACCTCTACTACTGCTAGACTGACTACCAGCACTTGTATTATTACCAGTAATAATAATGCCACCATTGGCATTACCGCAAATCTTACCAGTACTACCTACACTACTGTTGTTATTATTACTACTGCTACTATCTATACCACTACTACTGTTTTTTTGAAACTCGGTCGCCTGACGTCCCTTGTAATTTGACCCCCTCCCCCTCCATGGTTTTTGCGACCTGTCTTGTGGTCTATTTTACTTTTTGACACTTGGTCTGACTTGATACTCGTCCAAGAGAAACCAAAAGGTCGTCTCGAGTTGCTTCTCCATTGTTTCCGTAAGTGTATTGTAAGTAGTTTTATATATTTAGGTAGTTAGGTTAAGAATTGAACTGGAGAATCTGCTATATGCATTATGAATGCATATAGCAGGGAGAGTAATCTCCCCGAAGGCATAAGTTACGTAGAACTGTGGGCCTTGGAACCCACCAACGACCTTCAGAAGTTGTGTGGAATCTGTTATTGTACGTGGTTTCTTTGGGGATGTTGGTGGGTTCCGGGCTTTGGGTAGTGGTTGCGGTGGGTGTTCTACGTATTTTATGCCTTTGGCCAAACTGTGCAGAGTTAAATATTGATTCATTGAATTTACACACTAATCATTTTGAAAAATTTAAGCGGTGTTCAGGTTCCTATGAATATAAAAGTATTAGCGTTCAGAATTGCAGTTGGTTTGATTGTAAGTAGTGAAGTCTAACGCTTCTGGCAGCAGACGTTAATGATGAAAATAATGAAAACCTCTGATCTGAAGTGAAGTGTTAGTCGGCAGAAAGGATTCACCAACATCTGATGATGATGATTAGAGTTTGGGGGGATGATTTAGATTGGTATTGGTGAGAATAGGATTATTAACCCTGCTGGGTTAGAAATCCAGAAAAAAATAGAGGTAGAGTGTGCGCGGGCTTGAATGTAGTGGTCCTCAGGTTGTGCCTAGGATGCCTGCCAGTTAGGCAGGTAAGGTAGGTTATGAATTCAGGCTAGCATAGTAGTGTGTGTTAGGAAATTGGTATACGGCAGGCCTCCAACTGGTTAGATAACCCGTAGTGGTGGTTGTTAATCTAGTGTGCTATGAGGGGCGTGGAAGTGTAGAGGAAGTAGTGTTGTCTTAATGATCCTAACTACCTTCATGTTAAATTTGGATACCCTTCAATGGGTGTCTTTGTACTAGTGAAGGTATCTTGATACAAGCAGTTGCAAGTATCCTCCCCGTCCTTGGATCAAACCTGATTGCCTAACCTTCCCCAAGCTGTATATAACCCCTATGGATATTACACGTCTATAGTTATGGGAAATTTTATTTGGATAAATGGGCACGTATATAAAATGTTTGAATGGGGGGGGGGGGAGAGCGGAGCTGTGATCTCTGGGGGGGGGGACAGGTCGATGAAAGTCAATGAGGTTTGATTCAGAGGAGTAGTGCAAGTTGATAAAAAGTAGTGTTTCTCCCCCCCACCCCCTCAGTTGGACGCCTATATTTAAGGGATATTAGGAGTAGGTTTGGCTAGGTTGTATGTTAGTTTACCCTCCAACTTCTTTAATTGCAGCAAATCCTCTTGACAAGATATGATCACCTCTTTGGAGGTCTCCAGTGTTCTAATACCCTGGCTGTTAGAAGACTTGGACACCCCGAAGTGTTTGCAGTGAAGATAGTGTTGTACAGGACTGCCCCTTGTAACACTTGTCAGGAAGCTAATACAAACACAAGGTCATGAAATTTAATGTATCGTACCTCAAACTACTACTAATGGCAGTATTGAGGCTATCCGCCTCATTACTACTATTGTTAGTAGGGTTGGGGTAGGTATATATTTTTTTTTTCCCCGAGCTCAAAGCTCCCGAAATGTGAGAATGTTGTCCTTTTGCTGACAAATACAGCAGTTGAAGCTTGTCTCAAAGTTATTTCCTTTTTCTATTTTTATCACAGGAATGTTAAAGGAAGACTATTTATTACATTTTAATCAATGATCTTATGTTTATCGAATCTTGTAGGTTGAAGATATTCTCCGTGTTGTGGGCAGCTGCTGTGTGGTGAAGTCCGTGTTGTGGGCAGCTGCTGTGTGGTGAAGTCCGTGTTGTGGGCAGCTGCTGTGTGGTGAAGTCCGTGTTGTGGGCAGCTGCTGTGTGGTGAAGTCCGTGTTGTGGGCAGCTGCTGTGTGGTGAAGTCCGTGTTGTGGGCAGCTGCTGTGTGGTGAAGTCCGTGTTGTGGGCAGCTGCTGTGTGGTGAAGTCCGTGTTGTGGGCAGCTGCTGTGTGGTGAAGTCCGTGTTGTGGGCAGCTGCTGTGTGGTGAAGTCCGTGTTGTGGGCAGCTGCAAATCTTTAGATATATCACCAACAGCCCAAAACAATGTCTGCAAAGATAAAAGTATGGCCATTACTAGATTATTCATGAACTGCAGCAAGAAAGTTTGCGGTAAGAAATTATTTACTATGTATTTAGAATGTTTCCTTCAACATTTTGTAGAAAGGAAAAAATGCAAAAATATTTTCAAAACTGATAAAAAATTACCATGAAATTGGAGTATTCCATTTTTTTTTAAATTACCATGGGTTGATGGAACTGGAAGAGCTGGAGGTGTTGGTGTGGTGGAGGGGCAGGGAAATGGTTTAGTCGCCACATTCTTGGGACCCCCAAAGGTTAAATGGCCCCATTGACATAGGGGGGGGTGACGTCTTTGGGTTTTTGTGGGGAGGGGGGAGGTCTTAGGGAAAGGGGGGGGGTTTTGGGCTGCTGGTGGGGGGGTTTGGGGGTGAGTAGTTGTTACTGGTGGGAAGGTTGTGGGTAGGGGGGAGGGTTTGTCATTTGGGAAAATTACTAAGGGACTAACACAGTCTTGTTATGTGTTAACGTGGCTTGAACCATGAATTTGAAACGCCCGGACAAGCCCAAAGCACTATTTTTCCCACATTTTCGAAATTCTAATAAACATGTCCATGGACCCCCCTGTTGAAAACCGCCCCTTTGATGTTGGGGGTTACGTATTTGACGTCTCTTGTAGATTTAGTGCTTAGTTTCCGTAGTGGTGAGCCACAGTACTGTCTTCCTTTGCAGATGACACCCGAATTTGCATGGCAGTGTCCTCCTTTGAGGACACTGCAAGACCCGGGCGACATCAACCAATTTTAAATGGGCGGCGGGGAAAAAAAATTGAATTTCAATGATGAAAATTTCAACTACACGAATAGAAAACGTGAAAAAATTAAAACTATAGGGATTAAAAAAACAAATTCCAACCACAAATAGAACGAGAAACTAATGAAAAAACGGGGGAGTGTAATGTCAGAGATCTCCCCTTTCGAAGGCCAAAATAATTTGTACAATCGATCTGCTAGAAAAAATGACGGGGTGGACATGAGAACCTTCTCTAAAACTAGGGGGGCCCCAAGCTCAGATGCTCCGGGTCTTGTTCTAGCTAGGCTGGAATTTTGCTGACACTAACAGCACCTTTCAAGCAGAAAAATTTGGGCTGATCTAGAAAAGTACAGAGTACCTTCACGTACACAAACTGCGATAAAACACCTCAATTACTGGAACCTTGAAGTTCCTCGACCTTACTCCCAAACGAAGGCAGGGAGATCAAATTATATACACTTGGAAAATCCTAGAGGGATTAATACCAAACTTGCACACGAAAATCACTCCCTATGAAAGCAAAAGACTAGGCCGGCTAGTAGTACCTGCAATAGTAGTAGTAGTAGTATTTTCGTGATTATATTTGCCCTCCCCCCAAAAAAATATTTATGGCTAAGAATCCCATACTACATTTTCTCTGACAAAACACTTCTTGTCTCCCGAAATATTAATGTGGATAATGTTACACTTCAGTCATAAATGTTATACACCTATAATGAAGTTAAATAAATATATAAATCTACATACGTACCTATCAGTCATAGTCCAGTACAGGACTTGCACGCCATAACACCCTACTCATGCATAATGTATATTTGTAAACACAGAATTGTGTTATCATAAAAAAATTCACTTATATCAGCATGTTGAAGTCATTCCTGAACGAGGGCATTCTTTTTAACGTCAACTAAGTTTTGGGTTTTTTTTTTGATAAAGAAACTAATTCATGGTTTTTCCCAAAAAAAGATTGTTTTCAGGTACTTGGGGGTTGCGTGTCGCGGAGATTTTATAAGGATGAGGTTAATCATAGAATTTATGAAGGAAAAAAAGGGATGGTTTGTTGAGGGTTTGTGGAGTCAAAAAAATTTTTCTAGGAGGCAAAAAAGGGAATTATGAAAGTTAGTAAAAACCCAAAACTCTTTTATGGGGTGTGAAGCTTTTTGGTTTAATGCTGCAGCGAGGGGGGCGGTTGGAGGCAGTGGAGATGTCCCCGTCAAAAGGGGAAAGTGGGTGTAAATATTATGCAAAAATTCGGGGTGTGGAAATTTTGGAGAAGGTGTGGAGTTAATAAAATATTAGTCAGGGGCTGAAGAGGGGTTGAGGTGGTTTGGTCATTTAGAGAGAATGGATCAAAGAATGACATGGAGAGCATTTAAATCTGTAGGAGAAGGAAGGCAGGGTAGGGGTCGTCCTCGAAAAGGTTGGAAGGAAGGGGTAAGGGAGGTTTTGTGGGCGAGGGGCTTGGACTTCCAGCAGGCGTGCATGAGCGTGTTCGATAGGAGTGAATGGAGACAAATGGTATTTGGGACCTGACGATCTGTTGGAGTGTGAGCAGGGTAATATTTAGTGAAGGGATTCAGGGAAACCGGTTATTCTTATATAGCCGGACTTGAGTCCTGAAAATGGGAAGTACAATGCCTGCACTCGAAAGGAGGGGTTTTGGGATATTAGCAGTTTGGAGGGATATATTGTGTATCATTATACGTATATACTTCTAAACTGTTGTGTTCTGAGCACCTCTGCAAAAACAGTGATTATGTGTGAGTGAGGTGAAAGTGTTGAATGTGATGAAAGTATTTTCTTTTTGGGGATTTTCTTTCTTTTTGGGTCACCCTGCCTCGGTGGGAGACGGCCGACTTGTTGGAAAAAAAAAAACCGGATTACCTGGAGTTTACCTGGAGAGAGTTCCGGGGGCCAACGCCCCCGCGGCCCGGTCTGTGACCAGGCCTCCTGGTGGATCAGAGCCTGATCAACCAGGCTGTTGCTGCTGGCTGCACGCAAACCAACGTACGAGCCACAGCCCGGTTGGTCAGGAACCGACTTTAGGTGCTTGTCCAGTGCCAGCTTGAAGACTGCCAGGGGTCTGTTGGTAATCCCCCTTATGTATGCTGGGAGGCAGTTGAACAGTCTCGGGCCCCTGACACTTATTGTATGGTCTCTTAACGTACTAGTGACACCCTGCTTTTCATTGGGGGGGTGTTGCATCGTCTGCCAAGTCTTTTGCTTTCGTAGTGAGTGATTTTCTTGTGCAAGTTCGGTACTAGTCCCTCTAGGATTTTCCAGGTGTATATAATCGTGTATCTCTCCTGCCTGCGTTCCAGGGAATACAGGTTTAGGAACCTCAAGCGCTCCCAGTAATTGAGGTGTTTTATCTCCGTTATGCGCCCCGTGAAGGTTCTCGGTACATTTTCTAGGTCAGCAATTTCACCTGCCTTGAAAGGTGCTGTTAGTGTGCAGCAATATTCCAGCCTAGACAGAACAAGTGACCTGAAGTGTGTCATCATGGGCTTGGCCTCCCTAGTTTTGAAGGTTCTCATTATCCATCCTGTCATTTTTCTAGCAGATGCGATTGATACAATGTTATGGTCCTTGAAGGTGAGATCCTCTGACATGATCACTCCCAGGTCTTTGACGTTGGTGTTTCGCTCTATTTTGTGGCCAGAATTTGTTTTGTACTCTGATGAATATTTAATTTCCTCGTGTTTACCATATCTGATAATTGAAATTTCTCATTGTTGAACTTCATATTGTTTTCTGCAGCCCACTGAAAGATTTTTGGTTGATGTCCGCCTGGAGCCTTGCAGTGTCTGCAATGGAAGACACTGTCAATGCAGATTCGGGTGTCATCTGCAAAGGAAGACACGGTGCTGTGGTTGACATCCTTTTCCCATGTCGGTAGAGGATGAGGGGAACAAGATGGGAGCGAGTACTGTGCCTTGTGGAACAGAGCTTTTCACCGTAGCTGCCTCGGACTTTACTCTGTTGACGACTACTCTGTGGGTTTTGTTAGTGAGGAAATTATAGATCCATCGACCGACTTTTCCTGTTATTCCATTAGCACGCATTTTGTGCGCTATTACGCCATGGTCACACTTGTTGAAGGCTTTTGCAAAGTCTGTATATATTACATCTGCATTCTTTTTGTCTTCTAGTGCATCTAGGACCTTGTCGTAGTGATCCAATAGTTGAGACAGACAGGAGCGACCTGTTCTAAACCCATGTTGCCCTGGGTTGTGTAACTGATGGGTTTCTAGATGGGTGGTGATCTTGCTTCTTAGGACCCTTTCAAAGATTTTTATGATATGGGATGTTAGTGCTATCGGTCTGTAGTTCTTTGCTGTTGCTTTACTGCCCCCTTTGTGGAGTGGGGCTATGTCTGTTGTTTTTAGTAACTGTGGGACGACCCCCGTGTCCATGCTCCCTCTCCATAGGATGGAAAAGGCTCGTGATAGGGGCTTCTTGCAGTTCTTGATGAACACAGAGTTCCATGAGTCTGGCCCTGGGGCAGAGTGCATGGGTATGTCACTTATTGCCTGTTCGAAGTCATTTGGCGTCAGGATAACATCAGATAGGCTTGTGTTAACCAAATTTTGCGGCTCTCGTAAAAAATTCATTTTGATTTTCGGCTCTCAGTCTGGTTAGCGGCTTGCTAAAAACTGAGTCATATTGGGACTTCAGTAGCTCACTCATTTCCTTGCTGTCATCTGTGTAGGACCCATCTTGTTTAAGTAGGGACCCAATACTGGACGTTGTTCTCGACTTTGATTTGGCATAGGAGAAGAAATACTTTGGGTTTTTTCGATTTCATTTATGGCTTTTAGTTCTTCCTGCGATTCCTGACTCCTATAAGATTCCTTTAGCTTAAGTTCGATGCTTGCTATTTCTCTGACCAGTGTCTCCCTACGCATTTCAGACATATTAACCTCTTTTAGCCGCTCTGTTATTCTTTTCCGTCGCCTGTAAAGGGAGCGCCTGTCTCTTTCTATTTTACAGCTACTCCTCCTTTTTCTTAGAGGAATAAGCCTTGTGCATACATCGAGTGCCACCAAGTTAATCTGTTCTAGGCATAAGTTGGGGTCTGTGTTGCTTAGTATATCTTCCCAGCTTATATCGGTTAGGAATTGGTTTACTTGGTCCCATTTTGTTTTTGTTATTGAAGTTGAATTTGGTGAATGCTCCCTCGTGACTAATCTCATTATGTCGGTCTGGGGCTCCACGCATACATGTCTGAACCTCAATTATGTTGTGATCTGAGTATATTGTTTTTGATATGGTGACATTTCTTATCAGATCATCATTGTTAGTGAAGATGAGGTCTAGTGTATTCTCCGATCTAGTAGGCTCTATTATTTGCTGGTTTAAATTGAATTTTGTGCAGAGATTTAAAACTCGTGTGAGTGTGAGTTTTCATCAGAGCTGCCTCCTGGTGTTATTACTGCAACAATATTATTTGCTA